AATTCATTGTTGGAGCTGAGCTGAATGAGAGAGAGAGAGAGAGAGATGCAGAGCGTGTGTAGAGCAGGGGAACGAGAGGAACAGTAGTAATAACCGTTGCTTTTGAACATTGATTTTGAAACTTGGGAATCCATTAGAATCGTTAGAAGACAGAATCACGATTCATATATGGATAGATTGTTACGTGCACCTCTAGTTTTCTCTTCCTCTTCTCTAAAGCAGCGCAGCATGGCCTGGCCCCCTTTGCTGCCTTTTCCCGAGGGTGGGGTTTATCTGGGTTTGTGATGTCACGAACCCGGGAAGTAACTTGTTGTAGTCCCTACCAGCCGTTTTTGTAGGCATTAAACTGCCAGAATTTTAAAAGACGATATCTCCGTTTGCATTGATCTTTCAGCTTCGTAACTTTGCAGATATTGTTTATGCTCAAACAGCAACATTACACACTAACTAACGTTAAAAAAGTGAAATTGCAATGAACCACCCCTTTAAAAAAAAAAACTGCTATTAATGGCTACTTTTGTGTTCAACTGCCACAGTTCCTCTAGACACAGTAACTTGCCTGCTCACGGACCTCTTCATTGATTTATACTCAAATAAATAAATGCAACAATGCCAGCATTAAGCACTGAAGGAAACAGCTATAGGCATGCTGTGAGTGGGGCTACATGGGATACATATGATAAATTCCTTGCCATTGTTTACTCCAGCTTGGGTGAGCCAATTAAATACAGCTCAGTGGTGAACGTTCTGTCATGGCAAGCGCTGCATGTTTGAATCAACTCATGAATAATGGATCAGTGCATGATGCAACCAAAACGCAGTGCAGCACTAGAGATCTGACAAGAGGCAACAGCTTCCCCTACCCCCCTCCTCTATCCCCCCTAAGCCAAAATCCATGCTGGATAAAGACTGAGTGAGGTAACAGCTGTCCCATTGATAAAAGTGTTCAAGAGGAGAACATCTTTCTTACCAGTTCAGAGAATTCATTGCTTCCCAAGTCTAACCGCTCCAGTTGCGACAGCCTATGAATTGACCTGCAACATGGCAAGAAAAGAACTCATTTTTAAATATATGTAGATATTATGGATTGTTAAATGCACTTAAAGTTTAGGATTTAAAGAACTAGTTTATCCAAAAAAGAAAATTCTGTAACTCTGTACTCAAATATTTGTTACGGTATTCACAACATGGCCCTCATTCAATATGTGGGCAAACACGGCTCTCCCAGATTGGAGAACATTACCTCATGCAGTCTGGTTTTGAAGGAAAAATTGGCGGTATTATTGCTGGCAGATAAAAATAGTCTTGAACCAGTACATCTGAACAAGTCAGCAAGCATAAACCATCGTGTGCAATATGTGTCCCTCTCTAGAGGGTTCCAGAGGTCTTCCCCACTGTGACAAATGACACTGTAGACTCTGCTACTCTGAGTTTGTTACATAAACTTGTGTCTAAATCACATTATTGAGGGATGAATAAAAAACTAAATGAAATTTCTCTTCAGGGAAGAGAAGAGTTTTATATATTAATGCAATGATTTGAAATGGTGTTAGATTCAAATATCTGCAAATAACTGCTATAGGTGTACAAAACAAAAGCTCCATCTCTTTACATTTGAAGGCAGTGTAAATGAAGAAATTCAAATGGAATTTAATCAAAATGCCTTGTGCCAGAAACAAATACTTGTTGTGAAGTAAAGACTAAATATAAAGCAAAAGGACACCCATAAAACAAAATAAATAAATTGCTGAATGTAAAATTCAATGTTTGTCCTACACCATTTTTTATTTCATGGCATGTATTTATTTAATGACCCCATGTTGGCAGTAGCGAAAGAATTATGCATAAGAAATTAAGTAACTTACTTTGGCATAGTTTTCAGATGATTCTCACGAAGCTCCAGGATTCGTAATTTAGATAATCTGAAAAAAAAAGGTTGCAAATCATTTTTGGAAAAATTCTAAATCTCAATCAAATTTTTTTCAAAGCAAAAACATAGGAGTGAATTCAATAAACAGTTCTGCCACTTTTGCATGTGGTATTTGAGCACAAAAAATATTACTAATCCTTCACAATGCAGTTTAACCAGACGCTATTTGTGCCGAAATAGCACTGCACCATGAGTATTTAAATTAATGTCAATCATTTCAGCCTGAATGTGCCCTTCTTGCTATAAATGTCCAGACTTAGGGCTATTTGTCTGGACATTGTGCAATTTACATTGTGCTATTACCACCTTCTAAAAGAGTTTGAAGAGAATGAATCAAGCTCTATAACAACACAGACAGCCCGTGCAAATACACAGTGTTGTCAGGGCAATTCATTTTTAGTGAATTCCCCAGATTCTTTTATCAAAACTAAATGCAACAGCCCTTGACCAATGTCAGCTGCCATAATAAATCCCCTTTCCCCAATGCAAATGAAATAACTATTCATCATTAAACCCAATATGAGCTGCAAGAACCCATTTATTCATGAAAGCTTTAGGCAAATCACTGCCAGAATCAGCACCCTGCTGCTCCTCGGATACAAAATAACATCTAAAAATAAAAACGCTACGATGACAACTACAAAAACGAGACAAACTCAGACGGGTGTGCTAAAGAGTCCCAGCAGAGCAGGAACAGAGAGGCCCAAGATGAAGCTCTTACCTCCCAAAATTGGCAGGCAGGTATTCAAGGAAGGCGTCATTTAAGAAGAGCTGTGTCAAGTTGAGGAGCTGGGTGAAACCGTCTGGGAGCCTGCAGGAACAGAGTGGTGATCAGACCCTCTCAAAGGCCAGTGCCCTTAAGATTTGATAAGCGTTAAGTACTTCAGGAGCGGTGAGAGCCATCTGTAATCCCTCTATGCTTCCCCTTCTACTGGCTCTGTTAGCATCCCAGTAAATGGAGTCACTTGAGGGCTGATTTAATCATAATATGAAGAAAAGGGTTCTCTGCAGAGACCATGCACTGGATCCTGAATGTTTGATCCTCTATCATAAACTTCTGAATCAAAGATTTGAAGCTCAGCTTAAGACTGAAGGCCAAACAAATACACTGAGATACAAAAATAAATGCATGTCTTATCTCTCCTCGAGTTGAGTTTGGTTCAGTTATAAGGCATGATGTCTACTTACAATATGCATTATTAATGTACAAATGTGCTTTAGAATTCAAAACTACACTGAAAAAAAGATTCATTGAATTTACTCAATTTTTTAAGTTAAGTGGTTGCAATCAATGTATTTTAGCTACATTTAAATAAACAAATTTAGTTGACTAACGTTCAACATTTTTTAATTTAAATGTAGCTAAAATAAATTGTTTGCAACCACTTACCTTAAAAAAAAAATTAGTATCATTGTTTTCAGTGTATGTTTATTCATGGATTAAAAAAGAGAAAAAAATGTTATATGAAATATGAAAACATCTAGCTTTTGCATGTATGTTCACTTTATATTTTTATCCTAAGGAACCCAGAAAAGGAAGGCAAATAATTGCCTTCATTTGAGAGTGAAAAGAATAAATACAGCAAATCCATGTATGATATAATAAACAATTTCATATTGTGTTACTGTAGTTTGGAAATCCTCTTCAGGAAAGATAAGAGAAGAGATTTACATATTAATGCAATTATTTGAAAAAATGAAAAAACGTAACATGCTTTTTTTTATTCTATTCTTTTTATGATTATTTTACATGCAGCTTTTATTATCTCACATTTAAGGGGTATGAAGTACTCGTGTTTTTAAAAATCCACAACACCATTTAAATAAACTAGTGAAGGAAAATGAGAAAGTAAAGAAAAGAGTTGCCATAAAATTTAAACTAAAATCTATTGACATAAAATTCACATAAAATGTTAAATAAATATATATGGATTCGTCAACTACCTACATGTACGTAATACAACAATTATCAAACATTACAGTTGTCAGTCTTTCTGATTTAAGAAATGTGAGCAGCTCTACTTACTTGGCTATAGGATTTACACTCGCCTCCACAACTGATAGACATTTACAGCATTTGATGTTGTCTGGAAACTCTTGAATACCTGAGATAAAGCCAGTTTTACCATGCTGATACAGGGTACGTGTGTACTGTATAAAAGTACAATCATACACAATCATACCAATATGCTCAGCACAAAAAATAGCTTGGAAAAATAGATTTAAAAAAGCAAATATAGAACAAATGGAGTTAAAATGTACCATTTTTACTAATATCTAACTCCTTTAGATTCACAAGGCTGGCGATGGTGGTTGGCAGGTTGGAGAGGTCATTGTCAGGCACGCTCAGCTTCTTGAGTGCTTGACAGTTGAAGAGTTGCTAAGAAAGACAGAAAAATAAAGAGATTTATTTAAAGAATTTTTTGGTGAACTTCCCAGGCCCCATGAATCAAAGTGATGAACCCGATCATATGCTCTGGTTTTATCCTGTCTTGTTGTAAATAAAATAAAAAAGACAATATTTAATACTAGGTGAAACGTCTCGGTTACGTATGGAACCCTCGTTCCCTGAAGGAGGGAACGGAGACGTCACGTCGGATGACCGACGAGTTGGGAATTGGGATCTCGCTTAGAGAGACCAATCTACTTCGAGTGTAAACTAAATGAGCCAATGCACATTGGCATGCGATTATTGCATGCAGCTGCTGCTGATCACAGCGTGAGTATAAGTAGGCAGCTGATGCAGCGCATATTCAGGTTTTCGCTGAGGAGCCGAGCCGGTGACCCGGCCGCTCAGCGGTGGTACAGGAGCTG